CAGTTGAACTCCCTAAGCTCTCTTGCTGACTGCAGCTCCTCTTACATGGGCACTGGCAGAACCCCACTAGTCCCACAAGCCCACACTTAGTAGCAGCGAATCCCTACCCTTCACACAGCATCCCAGTGGCAGAACTAAGTGTTCCTACCTGGGCTCTCGCACTTGCTTCCAGTCTTAGAGTCAACATATACACTGGTTTCAAATACATCTGCAGCATAACACATGCTACACCTTACTCTGGAGAGAAAAGGGTTTCCTAAGCAAAAGGAAACATCATTAATGAACTCCCTTTTCGTACAGAAACGAAGCAGTTCTCCTTCAGCCATTGCCCACTGCAGGCAACAGCAAAAAATACAAATGATTATTTCTCAAAAACAGGCTGACCAATGTCCCAACAGACTACCCTACCGTATCTTAACTCTGCTTCAGCAACAAAGACACCATCTGTAGAGTCAATCTTGTACACTTAAGACACTCCTTCCCACAGCTGTCACCACACACAGCACTGGACAGTAAGTCTCGGCTTCTGGACTATGGATGTCATTTCTGCACCTAGAAAGGTTGCAGCCAGTTTGTTCCCGTGGGCATTTTGTCTCATCCACATTAGCTCATCTACCCATATGGCATGGGATGCATGGTTCATCCTTCCATGCAAGTGAGATGTGATTCCATGTGAGTGAGTGGGATTCATGGGATCCTCATGTCAGTGGATCTGCTGAAATTTAGAAGTCCAGCCCATAAGCAGAGGTCAGCTTGATGAAAGTTAAACTCACATAGGCACTGCCTGTTAAAAGTATTGCCTTTTGAATACTGTCTCTAACTGCAGATTCTCTTGTGCGATAACATGCTCCTCTGAAGTGTATTCCTCATATTCTGGGCACAGTCTTCCTGTGTTCTGTTAGTAGGATGACTGTTAGGATTCCAGCATTATACTGACACTCTCTCCCACCTCCGGTACCCCCCCCCCCCCGCCAGCCCATAGGCATTCAGGAGATCACCCAGCCAGCCCAGGGGCCCTGCGACCATAGGTCACCAAGTCATAAGTAGCATGAAACGTCATGTGTTGCGTGGTTATGTCATGCTTGCATGGCCATATTATGCGATGCATAGCTACGTTATGCACTGCGTGGCTACGTTATGCATTGTTTGGCTGCTTAATTAAGTCTCTGTATGCACGTGCAAGCTTTTCCTTTTAAGCAAGCTCTGACTGCCCGTGTTCTATCAAATAAAATAAAAGTCAAACCTTTTGTTCCACACTGCAATAAAATAAAATGTAGAAGCCCATTCTCTAACTCCCTCATAGTATGATTTGGCCAGATATAGGAACTTGTGGAGTGATCAGAGGAGGACTATCACAGAGCGGAACTGCAGGTGTCTGGTCTTGCTGAATCTCAGCGCTTTAAAGATTTATGACAAATTAGGGTGGTATTACAGGTGTCAAAGCCCTTCAAGAGATCAATAGCACCTAACTGACTAACCATGTCCAGATATTATTAATCACACTTAAGAAATGTAAAATAATGCTTGTATTCTTTGCCATTCCTTAGATCTTCCCATGGTTTAGTTTTCTCCTTCTGTAACCTGTAGGAAGCCCTTTAAGAGACAGTGGAAACATATGCACAACAGAATCTGTGATTAGCTACAAACGAGCTGATGAGATTTGCTGTTTATTTTTTAAAAATGCCTGTGTCCTTGCTAATTTTCCTTGTAGTTTTGTTTTTTGCTACCAAGTTGCTATTGAATGATTATACATATATACACACATAAATATACATATATATGATTGGGGATATATATGGAACATATGTATATATATATATATGATTGCAAATTTTTCACAGTATAAGAAATAAGATTGGGAAGAAATAAGATTGGAAGTGAAAAAATTTAGGAAAATGAAGACAAAGATGAAAAAGAAAAGAGGAAGAAGAAGAAGATAGAGTATTTAGAACAAGAATTAATTTAAACAGAGAATTGTAACAGAGAATTGGAATTGGAATTAGAATTGAGACAGAATTAGAGCTAAGATATTATAGACAATTAGCGCAAGAAAATTAGAATTAAAGCAAAACAATAAAGAGACCTGTCTGGAACTGTAAACATGTGAGTTTTTTCCCTGAGAGCAGAACTAACCAAAGATCCCTTTCCCTATGCTGATGCAACCTAAGTGAACCCTGGGAGGAAGTCAGCAGAGCAGGACTCTGTTGACTTTCCATATGAGGTGACTCCTTCCCCACTTTGTTTCACCAAAATCATCACGGTCCTCTGTGAAGGTCAGACTTGCTTCTCTTTTACTTCCTTTTTGACTCCTTTAATCCGCCCTTAGAAAGCCAACACACTCCTTCCCCACAACCACTGCCCTCCCAGCTGATATTCTAATTTACCTACATTCCCTATTCCAATCAGGCTTTGCTCCACCATCTCTGAAGTTGTCCCCCCGCCCCACCTCCTCCACTGACTGTTGATTTCTAAGAAAGACTAGCAGAGTCAAAGGAAATGTACAGAGTAGGCATATCTAACTTAACACAAACCGACTAGTCAACAAATTGCGCCACTTAGCCAGAACCCTGGTTCAGATAATCAGAGAAGCCAACTGTGTAGGATCAGAACCAAATTATGTCCACTTGGTTCCAAAGGCAAGGGCATCAAATGGGACTTACTTTCCTGCCAGGACTGCACTTACACTAGGTACCCTGGGGGGAAACGTGTCACAGTCTTTTTCACTCCAGACTCCAGTGTTCTCCTGGCATGGGAAACTTATTAATATCTTGTTCATCATTTCAGGGAAAACAGAAGCCTCATTCTACTCCTGTACTGCTGGAGAAGGCTCTAGAGGGACAACTACCATTGGCACAGCAATAGGACTCCAAGAGGTACAGCACAGCCAACTGAGCAACCATATAAAGGAAGTCATGACCCTGGTACAACAAAGCACAGCCATGCTACAAACTCAGAGATTCCTTGGCTGTGGTGGTCTTCCAAAACCACAGGGGTTGGACTTAAGAACTGCAGAAAGAGGGGGCTCCTGTTCTTCCTGGGCAAGGAATGCTGTTCTGATGTGAGTGAACCTGGCCTAGTAAGGGGAAATGCTAGACAATTACTGGAAAGAAACACAAGAGGAAGAGTAGACAATACTTTCTGGAAGGCTCCCTCTCTGCTTGGGGACTGTCAGTAGTCCCCTTGGCAGGCCTAATTATTATAATTGTGCTAACTTTCTTGTGTGGTCCTTGACTTTTTAGCTTCTCACCAACTTCCTCCAACAGAGACTCCTTGCTTTCCTGGCCCAAAGCAACACTGGACTCTCTATGCCCCCAGACTAGCAGCTTTTATCTATCCTGAAAGCATCTCAACATACTCATTCCACCTTTAGGATCCACCAGCAGCCTCCCCAAATGTCAGCCCCTTTCCACCATTTTCTTTTTTACCCTTCTAGAGTTGGGATAAGAGCCTCAGGTCATGAGGAATAGAGTCAGGATGCAATGGGCTGTGTAGCCCCAAACCATAAAGAATTCCTTAGCCACAGAGTGACTGTTCAGTTCCATCTGCAGAAACAGAATGTCGGGCAATGAAAATACCTCATCTGTTCCCGATCAATCCATAAACACAGCTGTGGCTTTCTGGTACACACACACACACACACACACACACACACACACCCCAGCCCCTCTAAATGTGCTCAGCCTTCATGCCATGGAAAGAGTGGTCCCATCCCTATTCCAATAAAGCAGTCTAAACCTGCTGATTCCCAGAGAGTCACTGCCCATTGTGTGTGGAAACACAACTGTCACCTCAGAGGAAGTATGAGTTTACTCTGGAGACAAAATGAGTGAACACAGATTTAGAGTTCCCCAAATTCCATTTTCTGAGTTGGCAATGGAGTCTTTCTTTACAGTCACCTAACAGTGGAAGCCACACGTGAAGACACTTTTCAAGCACATTGGTGGAAATACCAGAGAGGCAGTTATAGCAAAGTTGGGGGAGGGGTTGTTGTTACATGGGTCTGATGGTATCCGATGATGCTCTTAGCCTTTGGTTTTGTGGGAACTGTCTGTTAATATATTGCGAGGAAAGCTAGTCTTCTGAGTACCCTGATGGTCATAAAGGTGAGAGACAGAGAAGAGCAATAAGTAAGTATTGAGAGGGCTCTATAAAAGGAGGGCTCAGTTTCAGGAGACCTGATGCTCTCTTTGGCGTTTAGGAGTACCAGGCATCCACAGGTGTACATATATGTGTTCAGAAAAACACAAATATGCATAAGTTAATATACATTTATTTTTTTATATTTTCCAATATGATGGAGTAAATGTTTTTCCTTTTTTTAAAATTGATTTTATTGAGCTATACATTTTTCTCTGCTTCTCTTCCCTTCTCTCCCCTCTCCAATATACATTTTTTCAAAAGAGGATGAAAGGTGGCTCTGAACTCATAGGCTTGCACATCTTCTCTGGTCACTGAAGGGCAATCAGCCTTGTACAATGGTCTGTGGAAGGTGCTGCTGCTTTCCAGAAACTTCCCTTTTCACAAGGCTCGAAAAGAGACTGGCAATTACATCTCACCCTTTTGCAGCTGTTTTGCTTTTAGTTTGATTTCCCCAGGACAGTGAACCTCCCCCTGTCGTTGTACCTTGGCAGCAGAGAAAAGTGTTCTAATTTAAAACTGCTCTAATTTAAAAGAATTTGCGCTATCAAAATCTAAAACATCTACAAATCAAAGTTCCCTTTGTTTCCTTTGCAGTACATATTTCATTTACGGTACACATTTCCTGCAGAGTCCTTCCCCGAATTTGTAATTCCGTTCCTACAAGAAGCAGATTTTATGCCTTTTTCTTTTTTTTATGTCAAAGGGGTGAACATTCAGGATGATTAATCTGGCAACAAATCACAGACCAGCTGGGCAGAGCTTATTTAAACCACGCCCACATGCTTTTCAGGTCTGTTTTCAGATGTCCTTCTCATTCACCAGAGTCTCTTTGCTTCATCAAGACGATAAGTGGTGAATAGCCTTCATAAAAATGTCAACTGCGGAGGCCACCTCCCCGGGTCGCGTGGGAGAAAACCGTACGTATTTAATGAATCGTTAATTAAATTAACGGGAGAAAGGGGAACTTCACCAGGGGAGTGGAATCTTCCTCTGTTTAGTTTCCACAGGGGTCTCTCCAGATCGGTGAGGCAGCGGGTGGGGAACCCTAGGGTGGGTAGGAGCACAGCAGTGCAATTCTGTATTATTCTGTTATGGCGATTGTTACTTAAACATGTTTGGGGAAGAGCAACCAACAGCGAACTTGTTGAATCTGCGCTCTTTAAACTCCCGCCAGAGGGAGGCACAGAGTGCCTGTGTGGACTGAAGTAGCCAATGAGGCTGCCTCACTCACTGTGATTAAAAGAACTGTAGCCCTGTGTTGTGGGTGTTAGGGTTGAAGAAGCTGCCTATCAGATTACATTTCCCCATAGCCTGAAGGACATTTACAGCTGCCCAGCCCAGCCTCTCATACTTGATTGTGAGGTACCTGCTGCCTCAGGGAGAGATAAACAGCTCTTCTGAGTTCCTATAGCAAAGTAAGTGTCCAGATTCCTAGAGGACAGGTTGGAGGAACCTGGGCATGCTCAGGGATGTCGCTGCCATCCAGTGCCCCTAAAGTGCCCCTGCTCACACCTCCCCCCACCTTCCTTTCTGGGCTCCCACAGTGCATCTCCCCCCCTCCCCCAACCTTCATGTGCTTTCTCATCCCTAACCTCCAGGCTGTCAGAAATTCTCCCCTTTCCTTAGGACACAGGTGTACTCCTTCAGGTCTTAAATGATTCTGTGGCACCAGGGAACAATCTCTGTCCTACTTTACCTAGTGCTGCATCCCAGGATTTTCAGTAGGTCTGGGATGGGAAACTGATCCCACCTCTAAATCCATCTACAGTTTCAGATTATGGTAAATGATGGGAAAAGGACATTGGAGATTGCTCTTTTAAAACCGTATCCTCTCATTCTGGAAAATGTTTCTATTTCATTCTTTAAATCTCTTTCCGTTTAATTTAAAACTTTTAAAATCCATTTTATGTGTATGTGTGTTTTGCCTGCTTGTCTGTGCACTAGATGCACGCCTGGGCCCACAGGGGTCAGAAGAAGGTGTTGAATCCCCTGGACTTGGACTTAGGCAATTGTGAGCCACTGTGTGGGTGCTGGAAATGAAATGAGTCTTCTCTCTACAAGGGTAGCAAATGCTCTTCATTGCTGAGACATGACTATACCTCTACTTTAATATTTTTGTTTAGGAATAAAATATTTCTTGAAACACAGAGTTCACAATTTTTGTTAGCTTAAAGGTCTAGTGGCAGCCTCAGGAGATCAGGCTGAGTTCCTCTAGGTGGACAGGCCCCGGATTGGGGAATGGTGGAAATTCTGGTCTGGGAGGTGGGGGACAAACTGGAGAGGAAAGCCTTCTAACCAGGCCTTCCTTGTATCCCCTTGAATCCCTCGGCCCCATCCCGTGCCATCCAGTGCACACCTAAAGGACTCTCCCTCCGCACACACCCAGGCCTCTCCTTGTGGTAGAGCAGCAGGTATGTCCTCTGTTGCCCTGACTTTAAGGGTTGAGGCTAAGCACTTAGGGACCACCAAGTCACATATTCCTCAAGGTAAGCCAGAGCACCTGATGTGCTGAGGAACATTAAAAAGTAAAGTTTTCCTTCCTTCTCCAGACTTGTCTATGGGCTGAAAATGACAGCCAAGTTCTCATGGCAGTGACCAGTCCTTAAAGCAGCTGACTTAGGTGAAAGTCGGGGACCCAGCTCTCTTGAATTCTCTGCAGCTTCTCTGACAGTTTCACTTTCTCATCTCCTTTCTGCTGACCCTGCTCTCTCGAACTCCCTGCAGCCTCTCTGAAGCTTTCACCTCCTCTGGCTCCTCTGACCAAAAGAGAAAGCTCAGGAACAATACTACTGTTTCTCAGCTAAACCAAGCATTTCTGAGGAATTAGGGGCTAGATAAATTCCGTGAAGGCCTTAAGAGAGCCCATGACTAAGCAATAAAGATGGTGAACTTCCAAGATGGTGGCTTCTTCTTCACCTTCCAGACCTGAGACAAAGCCTAGGGCTGCTTAAAACAAAGTCCTGGGAAGCTTTTTCTCCTGCCAGTGGGGCTCCCTGCTGGTGAACCAGATGGAACAGCTCACAGCTCACTGTTGAAGAAGATGTGTTTTTTGATTCACCCATTAAAATGAACATACACGTAGCTTTATTATGGTGAATGTATCTTTGGAGGCCCAGTCCCTGTGCCAAACCAAGCTTTGACCCCTCCCTGGAGGAGGGTCAAGACAGCCTGCCAAACCCTTGACCACTCCCCCCAGTCTACTTAAACTGCTTCCCCAGAATGGTTCCCTCAGTGGTCTCTTTTCCTTCCTCCTGGTAGTGACATTTGTGGCCTCCAGGTTCCTCTCAGGGCCACCCCAGAGCACAGGAATCTTATTAAATCCCATTAAACCTGGATATTATTTAATAATGTTGTGATTTGGCTTATTGGGATATTTGCGTTGGCAAAAAGAGAGATCACATTAGGAAAATTTCTTAAAGGTGAATATATTAAACTCTTCAGCTACTTTTAGAAGCACGTACATTATTGTGGGCTGTACTCATCCCACTGTGCCTTTTAACCCCAGATCTGACACTGCTTTATTGACAGTATTGTCTACTTCCTCTCTACCTCCCCAAGAGATATTTGTACTTGATTGTATATTATTTTAAGAGTTGTAAAATAGCGTGAGAGAGATCATGGTGGGCCAAGGGGCCAGGAGGCAGATGGGAGCCAGGGGTTTCATGGGAGACAAATACTCCATGCAGGCAGAGCTGGAAAAAAATCGATAGATTGCAGAGCTTGTCTCTTAAAGAGATAGCAACTGAATATAGACTCTGTAGTGACACAACAGCCATTGGAACCTGGGCTGGCCAGGGTACTGCCTGGGTTCATCCTACCAGATGACAGGGGCCAGCATAATGACTGAATCCTACCAGTAACACAGTATTGCAACCAATACAGTTTCTGTGTGATTAATTTGGGTCTGGGAGGCCCAGAAATGAATGAGCAGTCTCTGACTACAAACACCATTCACAAAAACCAGTACTTGGAACCCACCTACATTTATCAGTGAATAAATGGGGAAATTGTGATCCATACTCCTGTTGGTGATCTCCAGGTGGGCGCCCCATCCACACTCTGGTCTTGCACCTCCGATTCCAGGCCCAGTCCCCTCAGAAAGCCCGCCAATCAGAAGCCCTGCCTCTAAGAGAGCCCATATGGTGACTCACATACAATCTCCTAACTCCTATTGCAGGGATCCAACACGTATTTCATAGGTCCCCTAACACTAGGCATGCATGTAGCACACATATATACATAAGTCCAAACAAAACAGTAACACACAAAAAATAAATATTAAACAATAGCTTATGAAGGAGATAATGACCCCCTCCACCCCTACCCAAACTTCTCCATTCCCACTTTGCAGAGTCTTTGTACCTCTGTCCCCAGCCCTTACACACTTACTTTGCCAGAATGCCAAAAAATGGATCCCTGAAGCAGAGACTTCACACTTGTCTTCATTCACATTGTCTCAGCATTACATTCTGCTCTTCAGACAACAGCATGTCAGGTTCACTGCTGGTGAGCTTCTAACACTGGATCCACAGCACCACTGATACAGAAACAGTACTCTGAATTCAGAAGCTTGCAAACACACCACATAGTCAAATGTTATACAAAGAAGTTATGAAAAGCTGGCAAGAAACTTGTAGAGAAGTGAGAGAAGGAAGAGGGTTGCGGCAATTGGGGTGTTCCGGTGACAGTTGGGTGTCTTTTTTTAAAAGTTACTTACAAGGAAACTATTTTCTGTGACTTACTGCCTGTAAACTTGCTTAAGCTTGCTGATTAGTATAGGAACGTTTGAGTCAGAAGCCTTGGGGACATTTTCCCTGGTAAAGTGGTATAAGAACTAGGCAAGTGCAGGCTTGTGGTCCAACTTGTCTCTTGTGTAGAGAGGGTGCGTTTACCTTGTCATCAGCTTGGGGACATTTGAGTGATATTAAATGTTCCATTTTTTTACAGTGATCTTTAATACTGCTACAAATATGCACATAAATGTTTCTTTTCCTTTTTCTTAAACCTTAAATGCAGGCTTTCCTTCCAGCTGGGGTATGTGGGTAGGATGGGGGCACATCACCATATTGTAGACTTTCTCTGCAAACAGCTTCATACTGGCTGCACAGTTTTGCCTTCCTTAAAGAAAGACTTTAGATTCACATCAGCATCTAATTCATCAACCTCCTGTTACTTACTGATTTTTTTTTGACCAAGACAAGTTCACAAACATTCTCCACACTTTTTAAAGAATCCAATGACTTTACAATATTGAGCTTCGTGCTCGGGTCTACAGTTCATCTTGAGTCTTAGTTTCAGCAGACAGATACCAGGTTGTTTCAGTAGCACATACTGGAGCGGTGCCACACTCTCCCTGTCCAAAACTATACATCTGTGTTAAATATCTGTTGACGATGAGTGCCTGATATCATTTCTGTAGTCTTGTTTTCTGCTATATTGTTCTGTCTACTTGTTACTAGCACCAGGCTGTCTTTATTTCTGTTCTAATAAATCATGACATGAGTCAGTGTGATCTTTCTGAATTCAACCCTTCTTCATAATCATTTTTGAATATTCTGGTTTCTTTTTAGTTTTCTTAGTATTTTTTTAAATATTTATTTATTTATTTATTATGTATACAGAGCATTCCTTCCATGTATGCCTGCTGGCCAGAAGAGGGCACCAGACCCCATTACAAATGGTTGTGAGCCACCATATGGTTGCTGGGAATTGAACTCAGGACCTTTGGAAGAACAGGCAATGCTCTTAACCTCTGAGCCATCTCTCCAGCCCCTTCTTAGTATTTTTTAATAATTTGATGCTATGTTTTTTTTTCCAGAAGGTAATCACTTCCCCCTTCACCAGGAAGTGATACTGTGTTGCATATTTAAACTTGTTCAGGAGTTGTTTACACATGAGCAATATTGAGTGTTCCGTTTTATCATGTGAAGCCTTTACTTCTTATATTGTTCTGTTATTGAATAAAACTTGGGAGTCAGATAATGGGGTAAAAACCTGATTGATCAGAGAAGCAGTGGATAAGTGTCCAGTGACCTTTCTCTCTCCTGTCCAGATACAAAAGGGCTTGCAAACCTATCTCAACCCCTTTCCTACCACTTTCCATGTCTCTATATTTGTATCCTGGGTCCTCCAAAACCTCTATGTCTAATTTTGGTCAACTAGTCACTAGCTCTGCCCCTGATTCAATGTTAAACTCTATTGCCACTCTTGGAGTGTGAGTGTGAGCAAATATCTCAGAACAATTATGTGTTTAGATCTGTCTTGATTTCTTTCCTTTTTTATGTTAAAATTTTCATGCATATGAGTGTTTTGCCTGCATAAATATCTGTGCATCACATGCATTCCAGTGCACACCAAGGTCAGGAAAGGATGTCAGATTCCAGAAACTGGAATTATAGATGGTTGTAGGCTACTATGTGGGTGCTAGAATCAAACTCAGGTCCTCTGCAAGAGCAACAAGTGCTCTTAACATCTGACCCAACAATCTAGCCCTGTCCTGATTTCTTCATAACTTTAAATGTAGTTAATTATTGTGCTGATTATGAACCTTTTTTAGCTTTATAATTTTATGGTTTCTCTCATTACTGTAAATGGCGCTGTCTTAGATTTTAATTTCCATTTGACGAGAAAATACAACTGACTTTACCATATATCTTGCATTTCCATTGTATCTTGCAGCTTTTAAATTCATATTTTATATTCACTAGTCTTTAATAGGTTTGCCATCATTTTTATGCAGATAAAACTGCATCATCTGTGATGAGAAACCCTTCATCTGTTTTCAAGAAGTGTAAACCTTCTTTTATTTCTTTAAGAATCTTATGTATGTGGCTGTTTTGCCTGCCCGTTTGTTAGTTACATGAGTGCCTGGTACCTATAGAGGGCAATGAGTCCCCTGGAACTGGAGTTGACACAGTTGTAAGCTACCTTGTGAGTGCTGGGAATTGAACCTGTGTCCTGTGGAAGAGTCATTTTAAGTCCTGAGGAATTTTCCAGCTTCGTGACCCTATTTCTTTACCCTTGGTGGACCTCCTGTGAAGTCATCCTGGAACAGAGAGCTGACATCCTACTCCTGCTCCTGATTGCTGGGAAAGCATTAATAACTCCACCCTTGGGAATGAAGCAGAGTGTAGTTGGATTTATTGTTTTTTTTTTTAATTGATAACTTTCATAGGGTTGAGGAAGTTGCTCTAATTCCTATTTTTGCATACTTTTGCTGTGTATTGATATTTCTATTTTCCTCTTTTCTTAGTGTGTTAATAGGTCTATTTACACTGAGTTTTCCCTAATGTTTTCATCTCCCCTAACCAGAGCACTTTCTGAAGAGAAATCCAGCTGACTGTTGTTGTTTTTCACTGTGATCCTCACTCCTTTAGGTTCCTGCCCTTTCATGATTCACCCTCAGTTCAGTAACCAGAAGACCCCAGGGAAGTTCTGTTTCTAGCATCTCTAGTTTTCTTTCTACCATGGCCATCTTTTATGGACCAGGGCCTTCTTTGAAAGGAGTTTGCAGCACTCTTTCAGATACATGTAGGGGATTGTAAGTGGATGTTTGTGCTATGTTTCTTTAATTTTTCTTAAGAAATTCTCCAAATTGGCATTCTTGTATTAATATTTTTCAGGTGAAAAGCTCCAAGAAAAATGTGTCGGAATCGTCTCCCCCGTGTGTCTTGCTAGGCTTTGCTGCTGCTGTGCAGTGATCATTGTCCTCACTGGAGTTGTGATTGCACTTTCTGTTTTTTTTTCAGGTGAGTGACATTATCCAGATCCTGCAGCATTCTGTCCACATCCACACTGTCAGTTACACTTACTGAGCATTGTGAGCCAGGCACTGTGGGAAGGGCAGAGAGAAAACACATGGGAAATTCTTGTTCTCTGGGAACTTAGGGTCTAGGTGGAAGATGTAGTGAAGGAACAGCACAGACTGTGGTGTACACAGGAGGCCAGGCTCAGCATCACTGGGAAGAGCACATTCAGCAACCTCTAGAGAGATATAGGAAACATGTTCACCTGGGGAACCTATTTGAAGCAGAGATCAAGGAGAGGAAAACTGAAAGGAGGAGCCTTAAAGAAGCTGCTGCAGCTAGGGGCAGTGAGGGCAGTGAAGAATGGTATGGTTGGGGAGGTAGAAAACCCCCATAACCCATAGTTTATGTTAACATCCTCAACTATGGTGTGAAAATACTAAGTGGATTATTCCAGACATATGTGATTCTCAAGCTTCTAGTTTTAGACTATTCTGAATAATGTGATAAAATCTTTACAACTTTCTTGCAATAGGTGGAGTAAATAATTCATGATATTGTTTTATAAAGTCAACGTTAGCCACGGCAATGAATAATACACAAGTCAATCATGGAAACACATGCTCACAAGACTTAGGCAGTGTAACCTAAACTGTTATGTAGCTCTGAAAAGACTCAGATAAAAAGAAGTGACAGTTGTCCTCAGTGCCGTTCCATTTGTTCCTTTCATTAAGGCCTCGTGGTACTGAGCATGAGAGCTGGGGGCAGCTACACCAAATTGCCTTCCACTAAAAAATGTGTGTGGGTCGTTTGTAGTATTTATTATTTCTTATCAATCACTTATTTCTAGGTTCAGTAGCCCTTGAAACGAGCCATGCATTTGTTCTTATCTGTTATTGGAAGAAAAAGGCAAATTTATGAAAGAAAAATATTACTTTTTAACAAGTCCTGCATTTGGAGATTCTTACACACACACACACACACACACACACACACATTACTCTATTGTGATAGACCCACAAATGAACACATCACACCTCTCCATTAGCATAGCCACTCGAACACTGGCCAAGTCCCAAATCTTGTATATGTCACTCAACTTCCACACAGTTGGAAAAGACATTCTGAAGCCATAAAGCTTTGGTTATGGTTTTAGACTTTCAGTGTATTTGCGTTTTTATACATTTATCAGCCACAAATTGGCAAAATACCAGCAAAGTTGAAACTAGAAAAACAATGCTCTTTATAGCTCTATTATTGGCTTATAGTCCCTTGCTGCATCCTGTCCTTCCTTGTCACCTTTTGTCACCCTTCCTTCTTCTCCTGTCTAAGTGTTACACCATGCCCACACTCACAGCTGTTCACACTGTGCATCCCAGGCTGGGACAAGCATATGAGGGAGTGCATGGGGGCTCTTTCTTGCTGAGTTTGTGTGACTTTATTTAATATTTTACTTTGTAGATTTCCAACTTTTCTATAAGTTTTAATTTCTTTATGTCTGAATAACTTCCTGTTTTACACATGTACCACATTTTCATTATCTGTTCATCAGTTGATGGGCAACTAGGTCAGGTCCATTTTCCTGCTATTGTACACAGGGCTGCAGTAGACATGCATGTGCAGGTCTCTGTGTTATGATGTAGTGTTCTCTCACATATGCCCAGGAGTGACATAGCTGAGTCACAAAAGGTCTGTTTGTAACTTTTAAAAGGTGTCTCAATACTGGGTTTATCAGTTTATACTCCCTCCAACAATGAATAAGTCTCCCCATTTCCGAAGAGTTCTGACATCTGCTGTGACATTTCTTGATAATTGCCATTTTGAAAGCCTCTAATGAGAGTCAGCATACATTCATATGGATTTATTGTATACATGACATGATACCAGGAAGGCCTCAATCAAAGTTTTGGTATCAAAAACTATTAGATCCCGCCATGTTGTGCATGCTGGTATTTTCTATATTCAAATTCAGAGAAGTGAGGCATTTTCTCTATTTGGTCATTACAAAAGCAGGATGTGATGCAGGATCATAGGAAAGGAACCTGTAGAATTCCAGCCGTCAGGAGGAGTCCTAGTAGGATAATGACTATGATTTGTTCAGGGTATGGTGTCTTTAGTCCCTGCACTCAGGAGGCACAGCCAGGAATTCTGAAAGAAAGAGACCCCCATGCACTTCCTCATATGCATGTCCCAGCCTATAATATACAGTGTGATCAGCTCTGAGTGTGAGCGTGTTGTACTATGTAGACAGGAGAACAAGGAAGAGTGATGTAAGGTGACAAGGAAGGACAGGATGCAGCAAGGGCCCATAAGCAATGAATAGGGCTATAAAATGCATTCAGATAAGTATAGTTCACAGAGTGAGATCCAGGCAAGGAAGGGGGACATAGAGAGATTCTGTCTGCAAACTCAAAATACAAAAAAGACAAGCATATCCTTTGAGTCCTACATGAAGGTTCTTGATGGGAAACCACCATGCTAGGAGGAGTCTCTGAGTGATCAGTAATGAAAGCTACAGTCAAACACACACCTCCCAGTGGAGAGTGAATGCTTAGCCAAAGAGATGAGACACAGAAATGTTTATTCATGATATGTATTTGCATTGTGTATATTTTAGTGAGAGAAAAAAACCCGGCCATTGTGAGCCCTGAAGCTGGGAATGATACCTGCCCAAGAGACTGGATTGCATTTGGAAGTAAATGTTTTTATTTGTCTGAAAACACAAGTAACTGGACATCCAGCCAGACCTTCTGCATGGATCAGGGTGCCCATCTAACTCACTTTGACAGTCTGGAGAAGCTGGTAAGAAAGGATTGGGAGTTGGTTTTTTGTTTGCTCATGTGGAATATGTATTGCCTTGCGATTCAGAGCTTAAAGCTGGAAGATGAGGAAGGTTTCACCCTAGGCATTGGGCACATGGGGTACATGTTAGCATGTGCCATTTGTGATGGTAATACATCTGACTGTAGCAATGAGACATTAAAAAGATATTCTCTCCTATAGTGCTCATAGTCAACGTGCAAGGCCAAACACATTTGAGAATCATGGTGGTCACACAAGTCTTTGTCTGAGCTGGCAGGTGTTGCAAACTTAAGGTGACAACTGTTAATAACTGTAATTACAGACTTAACAAGGGACTTTTACAGCCCCAGAGAAATGGGTAGCTGTCAGTTTACTATGGTTTATGACAGGAAAATGCATTCACTGAGAACTGAGGGTTATTTAGGCTCCAAAGTTGCTGGCCCTCAGTTCAAACCTGCTGTCATCCCGAGAAGAGGCTGTAGGACAGAGACTCAAGGCTCATCTGAAACTGAGAGACACATGTGTTTGCTTTCTGTGTTTTTGACAGGATTTCCTGAATAGATACAACGGAGATTCTGCCGCCTGGATCGGCCTGCACAGAGAGTCATCAGAGCAACCTTGGAAGTGGACAGACAACACTGAATATAACAACTTGTATGTTTTCAGAATGTTTTTCCTCCTACTGTGTTCATGTGCTGTGATTGTGTGAGTTGTGGTTGTGAAGGTGAAAGGCTGAGTCTTGTGAAGAGAACTGAACTGGAAAGGGAGAAACCCTTGGGCTGGAGGTGTGCCTTGGGTCTGGCTATGTGTTACATGGAGTTCCCAGTATCCACAACCTGGTAAATTTACATCTGTCAGAGTCACCTCGTGTTGTTTCACTCTAAATCTTTATCCTGATGATGGCATCTGGGGAAGATGCTGTCTGCTGTCAGCACTTGGAAATCTCTCCTTGCTGATAACTGCCCCTGTGGGATGCAGACAGAACTGCTGATGGCCACTAAGGGCTCTGAATCCCCAGGAAGCCAGTGCAGACCTGCTGGACAGGACTTGTCAGATAGCTGTGTGCACAGCTGCTTCTGTCACTGAAGCAGACTCCATGGGTTTTGGGAACCTTCTCTAAAGTCTCATAATCAAAGGGCACCCAGGACAGTGTTTGGATGTGAGCATAGCCATTTTGAACAGACCCATTCTCTGGAACAGTGAATGTCTATCATTAAAGACCTTTATAGTTTACTAAGTGCATTTTCTCCCCCTTTCATACATGCGTGAGATTCTTCAAGATAGAATTGAAAACCCCCCTTGCAATGCTACCCATGGCTGAAGTTCATGTGAACATGGCAGAGAGCAGCAGTCAAATGCTTTGTACACACAGTTCAGGGTCCAACATGGATGAGTGACAAAGTTGTGGTCACCAAGTGGAACCCTGAGAATGAAAAAGTCACTGGGTGTAACACTAGTGCTGGTTGTTCCTCATGGTCTCTGCTTTCTGTGATCCGTGCTATAAACAAGCACTGGACACTAGTGAGATATCATTGCTGGGGGAATGCAGTGGCCGACTCTGCAGACATTTTGTTTGTTTTTTGTTTTAGGGTTCCCATCCGAGGAGAAGGAAACCATGCCTACCTGAGTGACAGAGGGATCAGCAGTGGTAGGGACAACATAAGTAGGAGGTGGATTTGTAGCAAGCCCAAAGCTATACTTTAGTAGATTCACAGCTTGTGTAGTGTGTCAAAGTCATCATGAGAGATCTGTAACATGTCATCTACAGTTACAACATTATTTTTTATCTTAAATAAATATCACAAGCAATTCGTATTCTGTGGTGACATCATTGGTGAAAATTATCACAGATGACTATTCTTATGGGTACTTGGGAGAGTATGGGTGATTCTAAATTAAGTAAGTGTTTTGCTATGGGTTGGCCATATGAATTACAAACACATCAGTATTAGTGACCCCCACTTTTATGGCCCGACAATGAAGTTTTTTTTCATTAGCTTTTCCTTTGAATGCCAGGTACTTTTAAAAATGAAGGGAGGAGCTGGGCAGTGGTGGCAGATGCTTTTATTCCCAGCACTTGGGAGGCAGAGGCAGGTGCATTGCTGTGAGTTTGAGGCCAGCCTGGTCTAAAGAACAAGTGCCAGGACAGGCTGCAAAGCTGCACACAGAAACCCTTTCTCAATACCCCCTCTAAACAAACAAACAAACAAACAAACAAATAAACAGTGACAGGACTGAGTTAAGATGGGTGAAAAACAGGGCTCCTGCAGAGGGCTAGAAGGAGACACAGGAGTGGAGTCTCTCAGGCACTCTCTCCCCACTGCCCTGGGAATCCTGCAGCAGGCTGCATCACAGGTCTGCAGTCACCAAGGAGGAGCCTCAGACCTGGGTGCCACAGCTGCTGCAACCCAAGCCAGAGCTGGAGTGCGGCCCTGCTGTTAGAAAGTCAGGGAAGAGTGGCAGAGAGAATGGCTCTATCTCCAGTAAATGTGCCTTGGAACATCTGTAACTTCTGTTATCAGAACCTTTTAAAAAATATTTTAAAATTGATTCAAAATGGTGACTCGTAGGGTGGATTTTTCTTTCTTTTTTGTTCTCAACCTGGAATCTCCACTGCTGTGCAGCTGCCCTCAGCCTGCAGGTGTGATGGTCATACCTAAAGTGCCTTCACTGAGGGCACAGAGATGTGCAGAGACCTGGAGCTCCAGTGGATTCTGCCCCCAGATACGCTGCCCATCCCAAAGATCCCCTTGTCTCTGGGCAACAAGAGCATATCCCAGACTGGTGTTAGTGATAGTGTACAATCACCCTGGCTCTGAGCAACATCAGTATGTCCATAATGGAGACCTGTTCATTTTCTTGATTGGACCTCAAAAAACCTAACACTGGCAGGATGGTAAACAGCAGCCTGGATCTCTCACAGGCTCTGCCCTCTAATGAACCCCCATGACCAGCCTGTCTCTGAGGAATGGCGGGATTCCCAAGGAGAGTAGTGTATTTTCTGGTTTGGGCCATCTCAAAAAACCTCCATGGTGTGTGCTGTCACCACATGCCATGTTGCTGTACATGGTGCCTGCTATGGCTGCAGCTGTATTTGTTCTGTCTACCTCTACAGGCTGTGTGGAGGCCCCAAAATGTGAGCCTGTTTCCACCTTGTCTGATGGTTAGAGAGTTGTAGGTTGCTCAAAGTAGCTGACAAGCATATTTACATGTCCCAACACAGCATGTGATTACTTAATTGTTTTGACATTATGATAGCCCATACAAGTAGGTCCCATACAGGTGGTCAGGATATGCAAATGTTCTTCTGCTCCTTCTTTTATAACTATGAGGTCACCTGGGCAGTTGCTGTCTTCAGGATTCATGGTCTAAAGCAGCCTCACTGCTTAAACAACAAAATGCTAATGACTTGATGTCTCAAAGTGTTAAAGGAATTAACTGTTTGAGTTGTTCTTTCTATCAAGTATACAAAGTTTTTTGTTACATTCTCTCTCCCTCTCCCTACCCCCATTTGTATTGGGTATAAAAACTTATGGAAAAATAAATGTGGGTTATTTCAGTATTCACTGAAATACCCTCCTGGTACTTTTCTATGGCTTCTGTATTATTATTTTTCATGTGTCTTCATATTCTTATATTTCTAACCCCCATGCCCCTAAACTGGCAAGAGGTATTTTTGTCGAGGCTGCACCATGACAAATACCCATGGACCATGCTGTTTCTGGAGACCATATGGGTGTTCTTGGTCTGTGCATGGCTATGTTGATGTTAGTGGTCTGTGCTGTCCCCTGAGGCCGTGTTACTGTCTGTAGACTGAGATGCTGCTGGGGGCCACGTAGATACCATGACTCCTGTTACCACCAGGGGCTCTGTGGTCTTTTGTGGTCTTTGCTACAACTGGAGGCCATGCTGATGTTCATGGCTTGGGCCATGGTCTCTACTGCCTCTTCAAGCCATGTTGACATTCCTTGCCTGCGATGCCACCAGAGGCCATGCAATATTAATTATCTCATTTAGGAAAATAGCATTTTTCAGTGTTCTGTTCTTAGTTGATTTAGCATCCCCTCTTTTTTTCAATCCACTTTATTTCAGATAAACAGCATGACACTTTCTAAAATAAATGATTACTTACTCATTTTGAAATTAGTTTGCAATTAGCATTTTTAATTACCTTATAAACAGTACAAGTTAATCCCAGAGATTGGAGGAGAAAGATCACTGACCCAAATCTTCATGACCAAATTAATCAAAGCATGCTTTATTTATTTGTGTACATGGGGTGTCTCCCCCTAAGGTGAGGATTGAGTGGTAAGTACAGGTGGTGAGGGAGACAAGATTTTTATGAAGCTCAATGGTAGGGGGTGTAGTTGGAGGCCACTTGTTTGTTTCCTGACTGCCCAGAACTGAAATAATCACACAGAAAATATTATTACAACACTGCTTGGCCTATTAGCTCATGCTTCTTATTGGCTAGCTCTTATATCTTAAATGAACCCATTTCTAGCTGGGTAGTGGTGGCACACATCTTTAATCCCTGCACTCAAGAGACAGAGGCAGGTGGATCTCTGCGAGTTCAAGGCCAGCCTGTTTACAAGAGCTAGTTCCAGGACAGTTTCCAAAGCTGCATAGAAACCCTTTCTCAAAAAACAAAAACAAAAAAATTAACCCATTTTTATTAATCTGTGTATTGCCTCGTGGCTATGGTTTACCAGTAAGGTTCTGTCCAGTATGCAGCATCTGTCTCCATGTACTTTCTCCTCTATCTGTTTGGAATTTCTGCCTTGTCCTATTCAGCGCTGCAATAGGTCCAAAGCAGCTTCTTTATTAACCAATGGTATCACAGCATACAAGGGAGTTTCCCACATCAAGGGAGTTACCAAATGGTGAACTTGACAGACAAAAGTGGTGGTGTTACAGGTGCCGAACATAAGCTTACATATTAGTGCTACACAGGTTCCTTAAACAAAAACATGGTTGCAAAGTAGGCATATTGAGGTAGTCATGAGCAACAGGGAGTCAAAAGGTAGTAATAATATGTAGCAAGACTAATAAAAACTGAGAGACAGACATTGTGGTTCTACCTGAAGATATGGAAAGCAAAGCAGCCAGTAACTAGCTCTTTCCTCTACCTCAGACTGAAATGGCAATCCTGCTTCCGGGAATCCTCAGAATGAGACAGAGCTGAGACCTGTCTTCTCCTGTTTATATTCCTCTCTAGTGCTGGGATTAAAGATTTCTACCACCACCGCCTGGCCTCTATGGCTGACTATTACAGCTACTGGGATGGAAGGTGTGTGCCCACACTGCCTTGTCTGTATGGCTGAACAGTGTGGCTGCTTTACTCTGTGATCTTCAGACAAGCATTATTTATTAAAATACAAATGAAATATCACTACAGCCATGTAAACTTTTTAAAACAAAGGTAGGGTTGCAAGATGGTTAAAAACAATGTTTAGAAATTAAGACATGAATTCCATTCCTGGAACAGACAGTACAGAACCATTTGTACTTCAGGGCACAGGTGGGCATAGCCCAATCCATGAAAACAGAGGTTTAATCATAAACTTTTCTATAAGATGTCTTTTTAGCCTAAGATGGAGGCAGGCTGGTTCTTCCTATGCCTCATCGCATGTCTCAAATCCCTCTGCTATCTGTGATTCTATTTCTCTATGAGACAAAGAGCTTCATGTGATTCCTGAGTGGCTGTTCTACTCCAATGGGTGAAGGTAACCAGCCACCTGACAAGTGGGATCCAGTTATAAGTGGGCTTATTGGGGACAGCCTAGGATCGAGAGCAAAAATTCTTCTTCTCTAGTTTCAACTTCTGTCTTCCTGTAGCTGAGACTCGGCTCATAGATTAGTGCTGCAGAGACCGCCAAGGCTTCTGTGTGCTTGCTGAAGACAAAGCCATTACAGAGCTCCTGCAGGAGGAATAAATAGGTATGTATTTAATGCAATCAAACTGAAAGAGCAGAAAGGAGATTCACAGAGGAATCACAGAGAAGTTGATCATCATTAATGTTAGTTTGCCTAGCGGCTCGCTCTCTGTAGAAGAGGAGATGCTTGTAGCCTCTGTTATGTTAGTAACTCTATTGGAGTATGCCATACTTAAGTATAACTGAAAAAGAGGAAATGGACATGGAATAAATGACAAGTCCTGAGTCATAGTTTTTATTTGGTCAGTGAATGAAGTGAGGACATGACCATTTTCCTGTAGGTTTGAGGGGAAGGTTTTATTGTAGATATGAGGAAGAGCACCAGAGGCATCTTGAAGAGTCCACAGTGGGGAGAGAGAGGAGTAGACTAAACTTGGCCAGCAGATTCAACTTGGCCTTGAGAGAATAAAGAACAGAGGAGAGTGAGAGAGGAGGACCAAGAGAGGAGGATAAGGAGAGAACATGGCCAAAATTGCAGGGATAAATAGGAATGAGAGGCTGGGAAAGGGAATCTGATTAGCTGGAGTTTAGAGTAGGGCCAAGGAGAGAGGAGCTGAGAGGAGTCACAGGAACTGAGTGAGCCTGGAGACCAGCATGCATTGTGGGATGGTTGTAGCATGGAAGTCAGTCATTTGTCCGTGTGTGTGTGTGTGTGTGCATGTGTGTGTGTTTAGCTTTCTAGTCCACTCTTGATCTGGTAATTTGAATTCTGGTGAGTTACAGCAAGTAGCGGTAGACCATGCTTCTTATGACCCAGAACAAAGGAAACTCTAACAGCACAGCTCTCAATGTACACAGCTAAGGAATTTCCCTGTGGGGCTGGGGCCTGGGGTTTTCAGATCCAGTGTGGTTCAAAGGGATGGTGGGGAGGGGAGA